CCGTGTCGCCCTCGCCAATGCGCAGAAGGGGACGCAGCCCGTCACCGGCTTCTTCGGGCACATGCGCTCACTCTCAGATGAGCTCGCGGCGGCTGGCAAGCCGCTCGGGGACGGTGAACTCGTCTCCTACATCATCGCCGCCCTCTACATGGAGTACCAGCCACTCGTCTCCGTGCTCGATGCCCGCACCACGCCCATCTCGCTTGACGATCTGTTTGCTATGATCAGCAACTTTGATCAGCGGGTTGCCCTCTATCAAGGGGGCCACTCTGGCGGCGGCTTCAAGTCCTCCGCTAACGCGGCCATGCGCGGCCGTGGCGGCGGCTCCCGTCCTCGAGGGCGCGGCAGGGGCAGGCACAACAGCGGCCCCAACAACAGCAGCAACAACTCCCGTGGCCACAACGGCGGCGGTGGCCGGCCCTCCTCCAACAACAACCAGAGCCGCTGCAACAACTCCAACAACAGATCACGCCCCGATGCCGTCCGATGTCAAATCTGTGGTAAACCTGGCCACTCGGCCAAGGATTGCTGGTACAGGTTTGACGACGATGATGACTCCTCTCAGGACGAGAAGGTAGCTGCTGCGGCCGATGGATCGTATGGCGTGGACACCAACTGGTACATGGATAGTGGTGCCACGAACCACATCACCGGCGAACTCGAGAAGGTGACCATGCGGGAGAAGTACCGCGGCCAAGATCACATCCACACCGCGAGTGGAGAAGGTATGAAGATCCGTCATGTTGGTCACTCAATTATTAAAACCCCTCATCGTCCAATTCATCTTCGAAAATTTTTGCATGTCCCTAGTGCATCTAAAAATCTTCTCTCCGTTCACCGCATTGCTATTGATAACCACGTCTTCCTCGAGTTTCACCCTTTCTTCTTTTTGATCAAGGATCAGGTAACAAGGAAGGTACTGTATCGAGGTAGATGTGTTCGCGGGCTCTACCCCTTGATTCCGGAGCTTCGAAGAAGGTTCAATAAACAAGCCTTTAGTGCCACCAAGCTATCCTCTACACGGTGGCATGATCGTTTAGGACATGCAGCTTTTTCTTTAGTTGAACGAGTGCTTAGGAAAAATAAACTCCCATTTGTTGGAGAGCGTGATGTTGAAACTATTTGTGATTCGTGTCAAAGAGCAAAAAGTCATCAGTTACCATATCCAATTTCCACTAGTGTTTCAACCAAAGCATTGCAGCTTATCTTTTCTGATGTGTGGGGGCCTGCCCCATCCTCTGTTGGTAGACACACATATTATATGAGCTTCATAGATGATTATAGCAAATATTCGTGGATTTATCTCCTCAAGAAACGTTCCGACGTGTTTCAAGTTTTTCGTAACTTTCAAGCACTCGTTGAACGTAAGTTTGACAGCAAAATACTTGCCCTCCAATCTGATTGGGGCGGTGAGTATGAGAAGCTCAACTCGTTCTTTCAAGAACTTGGTATCTCTCATCATGTGTCTTGCCCACACGCTCATCAGCAAAATGGGTCGGCAGAACGCAAACACCGTCACATTGTAGAAGTTGGCTTAGCACTTCTTGCTAGCGCCTCCATGCCACTAAAGTTTTGGGATGAGCCGTTCCTCACTGCCGTTCACATCATCAATATGCTTCCAAGCCGTGTCATCAATAATGAAACACCCATAGAAAAACTTCTCCATACCAAACCAAACTACACTTCCCTTCGTGTGTTTGGCTGCGCGTGTTGTCCCAACCTTAAACCATATAACAAACGCAAACTAATGTTTCGATCTAAGCAGTGTGTCTTCATTGGCTACAGTGCCATGCACAAAGGGGTAAAATGCCTAGATGTCTCTACTGGCCGTGTCTACATTTCCCGTGATGTAGTCTTTGATGAAACAAAGTTTCCCTTTGCTGATCTCCACCCCAACGCCGGTGCCTTACTTCATCAAGAAATTCTGCTCCTGCCCTCTCATCTCACCAACTTTGATCAAAGGGGGAATAATAATTGTGTTGATTCATCATTGACTAATCCTCATAACCATGTGCATGAGCTCTGTGTTGATGCAGCCGAAGGAAGCATGAGCAAAAATGGTGAAGAAATCAGCCAAAATGATCAAGAAATCAGTTCAAATGGGCAATATTTGATGTGTCCAGATTTGGGAGGCAGCAAATCTGCCTCGGGATCGCTGCTGCAGCACCTGCCCAGGCCATCCGCCTCGGGATCTGCACCGCTGCATGGCGCCAGCGCGTCAGAAATCGCGTAGCCCACCAGGAGAAGCGGCGTCGTCTCTCCAGGCGCCACGCGGGCGGCAGCGACTCGTCAACCCGACGCCACCGAGCCGCACCAATCCGAGGCGGCCACGTGTTCCCCTGGGAGGCGCTGGCCAGCAGACGGGCTCCGCTGCTATGCACGTCGCCAACCGACAGCGGGCGCGCCCACCTGCGCAGATCTGACGGGCTCTGCGGGCGCGGGATCCGGTGCTGATCCTCTACAATCACTGCCTAATGATGGGGCAGCAGCACACACGGGATTCTCTGTGCCGCCCGTGGCTGGCTCCTCGCGCTGAAGCCGCAGAAGATCCCGACGTGGGAGCAGCCACTGGAACAGCACCAGGTGCATCCTCCTCGGGATCGGATGCGGGATCTCCTGCGCCACGGGCTGGTGCAGTCTCGCCTGTGCAACCACGCACTCATCTCCAAAAAGGGGTAATTCAACATGTTAATTATAAAACAAAGTTTGGCTTGGCTTGTTCCTCCACAGGTGAACCTAGTACGGTTGAAGAGGCACTGAATGACCCACGTTGGAGGAAGGCAATGGAAGAAGAATATGCGGCATTGAAGAAAAATAAAACGTGGCATCTAGTACCTCCACGACGAGGTAAAAATCTCATTGACTGCAAATGGGTGTTTCACATTAAAAGGAAATCTGACGGGTCTATAGATCGTTACAAAGCAAGACTTGTTGCCAAGGGCTTCAAACAACGGTACATCATAGACTATGAGGACACATTTAGTTCCATTGTTAAAGCTGCCACCATTCGTCTTGTGTTGTCTGTTGCTGTTTCAAGGGGATGGAGTCTCAGACAATTAGATGTGCAGAATGTGTTCTTTCATGGCATTCTGGAAGAGGAAGTATATATGAAGCAACCTCCTGGGTTTGTGAAAAAAAACTCACCACTGCATGTGTGCAAACTTGATAAAGCTTTATATGGCTTGAAGCAAGCTCCCAGGGCGTGGTACTCACGTCTAAATCAGAAACTACAAGCACTTGGATTTATCCCTTCAAAGTCTGACACATCACTGTTTATTTACAATAGATCAAATACCTCCATATTTGTTCTTATTTATGTTGATGATATAATTGTCACAAGTTCCTCTGATGAAGCAATAACAGGCCTCTTGAAGGATCTAAGTGTTGAGTTTGCTCTGAAGGATCTAGGAGACTTACATTTCTTCCTAGGGATTGAGGTAAAGAAACATGAAGATGGCCTTCATCTCTCTCAGGAAAAATATGCCACTGATCTGGTAAGAAGAGTTGGTCTTCAAGGATGCAAACCTTCACCAACACTCTTGTCTAGTTCAGAGAAACTCTCACTTACAGAAGGAGAACCCTTGAATCAAGAGGACAGTACAAACTACAGAAGTCTGATAGGAGCACTTCAGTACTTGACTCTGACAAGACCTGATATTTCATTTGCTCTTAACAAAGTATGCCAATTTCTTCATGCACTCACTACAGTTCATTGGACTGCTGCTAAACGTATAGTAAGATATGTGAAAAATACTATGAATCTTGGTCTTACTTTCAGAAAATCTTCATCTACCCTAGTCAGTGCTTTCTCAGATTCTGATTGGGCAGGATGCATAGATGACAGACGCTCTACTGGTGGGTTTGCAGTATTTTTTGGACCAAACCTAATATCATGGTGTGCAAAGAAACAGGCTACTGTATCAAGGTCAAGCACAGAAGCTGAGTACAAGGCACTTGCAAATGCCACAGCAGAAATTATTTGGGTACAGTCTATGTTAAAGGAACTTGGTATAAAGAGTATCAAAGCTCCGTGTTTATGGTGTGGTAATCTTGGTGCCACCTACCTATCTGCAAATCCAGTGTTTCATGCAAGAACGAAGCATATTGAAATTGATTTCCACTTTGTTAGAGAAAGAGTTGCAAATCAGCAGTTAGACATTCGGTTTGTGCATTCTAGAGATCAAGTTGCAGATGGTTTCACAAAACCGTTGCCTACAAGAAGTTTTGAAGAATTCAAGCGTAATCTCAACTTGACAAAGTTGTGATTAAGGGAGGATGTTAAGCAACGCATTGTGTGCCCGATCGTAACAGGTTGGTAACGTAGACTCCAAGGGGATCCGGCTAGGTTAGTCCAGGTTGTTAGCATGTTTATCTTTGTAACAACTCTATCTCTATCCTCTTATCCCTTGTATCCCAAATTGTAATCTCAATCATGTACGCGATCTGGGAGTTGCGCCCCAGTATATAAACACGCAGCCGTCGGTCAGACGAAGACAGGACGTTAACCAAAGAGTTTTACATCATAGTCTTGTTCAACTGCATCATACACTTGACTTGACCGAGTACATGAGACAGAGGGACATGCTTCAAAGTCCGTAATACAAATTATAGTTTTCCGTTCTCTGGGTTAAGCAACAAGAGCGACATCACTTGTTCTGCTGCCTGGTTTGGTCCATATATCCATCGAATGTTTGGAAGCCAGTACAACGTTGCCGTACCGTGTGAGACATGCAACTCAGCCATCCGCAAATCAGTATGCACATGCCTCCGACACGAATGACGACTTGACCCATAGCTGGAGCTGACCGTAACTCTCATGCCTACTCCCCATCAAACATGGCATGTTCCGCAGACTTCCGTGCCCACGGTTGTTCTCTTCTTTGACATGTATATTCCGTTAACATGTCAGACAGATGTGTGCTCGACTATTTAATGTGCTGCCAATACTTCTCAGAAGAATAGAAACCACAGCCAATTCCATCCAACCTAGCTAGCTAGTCATGGAGATGGATCCACCACCCAAAATGCTTGCCTCTCTCACAATAACCATACTGATGATGATGATGGCCACCTCCGTCGCACTTGCGTCGTCGGATGCAGCGGTGCTCGAAGGACAAGCAAGAGCGCTCCTCGACTGGAAAGCCAGCCTCGACAACCAAAGCCAAAGAGCACTGCACTCTTGGGGCAACACGTCGACGCCCTGCAATTGGCGTGGCATCACCTGCGGTACCGGTATGCACCGGCACCCGCTAGTGAACAAAGGCATCTTTCTGCAGGGGATGCGGCTAAGAGGGGCTCTGGAGTCCCTCAACTTCTCTACCTTGAGGACCTTGACACGCCTCGACCTCTCACACAACCTCCTTGCTGGGAGCATTCCTCGTAGTATTGAGGTCCTTGGCGAGCTCCATGCTCTCCTTCTGCAAGGCAACCAGATAAGAGGCTCAATCCCACTAGGTCTAGGAAATCTCACAAAATTGCATTCCTTAATGCTTCACGAAAATGAACTTTCCGGTGAAATACCAAGCCAAATAGGCAACATGAGTAGTCTTGTCACCCTCAACTTGTCAAGCAATCACTTGGTTGGTCATATCCCTTGTGAAATAGGACACATGAAGCACTTAGTTGCATTAGATTTGTCCAGTAATAATCTTTTCGGTAAAATACCAAGCAGCATAGGTGGTTTGACCGAACTCACTAGCTTGTACCTTTACAGTAACAAACTTTCTGGACAAATTCCACGAGAACTAGGTTATCTTCTAAACTTAAAGGACCTACAACTTGGCATCAACGCACTCTCAGGTTCCATCCCACGAAATTTACATAATTTGACCAAGCTTACTGTGTTAATACTATGGGGAAACAAACTTTCTGGGTTAATTCCACAAAAAATAGATTACCTTTCAAATTTACAGTACCTGAGTCTTGGTGAAAACATACTCTCGGGTTCCATCCCAAATAGTATAGGAAATTTGACCAAACTCACAACCTTGTCCCTTCGCAACAACCAACTTTCTGGGTTAATTCCACAAAAAAATAGATTACCTTTCAAATTTAGAGTACCTGAGTCTTGGTGAAAACATACTCTCGGGTTCCATCCCAAATAGCATAGGAAATTTGACCAAACTCACAACCTTGTCCCTTCGCAACAACCAACTTTCTGGGTTAATTCCACAAGAATTGGAGTACCTTGCAAACTTAGAGTACCTAGATCTTAGTGAAAACATACTCTGGGGCTCCATCCCAAATAGCATAGTAAATTTGACCAAACTCACAATCTTGTACCTTTACAACAACAAACTTTCTGGACACATCCCTCGAGAACTAGGTCGCCTCGTGAACTTAAAGGATTTGGAGCTTAGCATCAACACACTAACTGGTTCCATCCCAAATAGCATAAGAAATTTGACCAAACTCACAACCTTGTACCTTGACAACAACCATATTTCTGGCCACGTCCCTCGAGAACTAGGTCGCCTTGTGAACTTAGAGGTTTTGTATCTTGGCCCTAACACGCTAACTGGTTCCATCCCAAATAGCATAAGAAATTTGACCAACCTCATAGACTTGTACCTTTTCGGCAACCAACTTTCTGGACACATCCCTCGAGAATTAGATTACCTTGAAAAGTTAGAGGAGTTGGATCTTAGCAACTAACACACTAACGGGTTCCATCCCAAGTAGCATAGGAAATTTGACCAAACTCACAAATTTGTACCTTAAGAGTAACCAACTTTCTAGCCAAATTCCACGAGAAGTAGGTTATTTAGCCAACTTAGACTACTTGAGGCTTAGCTACAACACATTGACAGGCTCCGTCCCAAACAACCTAGGCAATCTCACAAAATTCACTGGCTTGTATCTTGACAATAATCAACTTTCCGGCCACATTCCTCGAGAATTAGGTTATTTGGCCAATTTAGAGTGGTTGTCCCTTAGAAATAATTCACTAACAGGTGCCATCCCAAATAACCTTGGCAATCTGACAAAACTTTATAAATTGGACTTTGGCCAGAACCAACTTTCTGGGCCAATTCCATGAGAAATTTAAAGTATTTAGAGCTTACCAACAACACAGTAACACATTTCGTCACAAACAGCCTAGAGTGTCTTGTAGAATTATCTTTCTAGGAAAAATTCACAAAAATTATCTTGTAGGATTATCTTTCTAGGACCAAACCCCTGCGCCAGCTCCTCCTCACGGCGATCGACTCCACCTGCTCCTCTCCTGCACTCGTCCTCGCCGAAAAAAAAGAAAAGAAAAAAAGGCCCACACCCTCGCCGCTGGGTCACTCCACACCGGCTCGCTCAGCAGCGACTAGGCTGCCATCGCCGCGACGTCCGCGCCGGCAGCCCTCGCCCTCACCGCCGTCTTCAACTGCTGGAACGCCCCCAAGCTAAAGCTATCGCTGTTGTTTGCTCCCTGTACTTGTCCTAAACTGGAGTCCCTACAGAAAGCTACGGAGAGCAGTGAATTAGCGAGGAGGAGATGAGATTGCCTAAAGTTCCCAAGGTATGAATTAATTAATGAACCATTGCGCACGGTGTCGTTACTTACGTTGAGTAATACGGAGTAGATTTCAGAAGAATCTTGAATAAATAGCCACTCAATTTTGTAATACATTTTTTCCTGCCTGAATGTTTATCATCCTTGCCCCTGCTAGGGAACAGAACAGGTGACTTTGGCGGGGATCAAATGGCCACAACGGGGTGCACTTCCAGTAATAACAGATGCATTTGAGATGCACGGTGCTGTTGAAATTGATACGCCTGCATTTGAGTTGAGAGAAACCCTTACGGCCAAATATATATGATGAAGACCCTAAGTTGGTCTACGACCTTGCTGATCTCGTACAGACAGTTTCAATGTCCTTCTATAATTGAAAAGTTTTTTTTTTTTTTTTTTGCATTTAACTCACTCAGCTGTCATGATCTGCTCCCTCTAATGCTACTGAGCTACTCTGTCTGGAACAGGAAGGCAAAGCCAGTACTGTGGCGCCCAAGGAAGCAGCGGCCCAGTCACCCTTGCCACCTGGGAGACATGAAGGAGAGCAGGCGCTACTTATCAGAGAGCCTGAAGCGTACGTAGTGTGGGTCTTGTGTGTTGGTTTTATTGAGACTAATGTACCTCTCTTCTCCTCACCTTCTCCCCTCCTCCTCTCCAATTCCTTCCCAGATCCTCTTGTATGTATCAACTCTAGAACTCGAATTCCAGCGAAGTATGGCCATTTGATCTGAGACAAAGTCAATTAGCTAGCAGGAGTATGGATAAACATTTAGACAGAGAATTGACTGACATGTACTGAATATAAGTAATCAGAACAGAAAGACAAGGCAAGAGAGGATGTAAATGCACAATGGTTCATTAATTCATATTCCTAGTGTCAAAAACGTTCTTATATTATATTATGGGACGGAGGGAGTAGTACCTTGGGAACTTTAGGCAATCTCATCTCCTCGGCTGTGAGAGTACTACCGGTGACAGTTTTTGAAAATTTGGCTGTGTATACATCCAAAATGTAAGGTTTCAGAAAGCTCAGGAGAGTAGATCCTACACATAGTCATTTATCATAGAAATGGATGCTAATCTGAAGAACAAACCAGGAGCAGGGGGGAGAGAACAGGATACCTCATCTCGGCCGACAAAAGCGAAAGAATGATGCGAAGTGTCAGAATGATGTGCTGCCAGGAAACAGAGTAGTTACTATCACTGCATGCATAGCGTGTCGATATCGTTTCCTGGAATTGAGACATAGAGAGCCATGAGCAATCAATTGATCTGCATACACATTAATTGCTTTGGAAATTCAGCATAGGGCAAAAAGTTGGAATCACCAAAAACAAAGAGAGCTTAGATGGTTAGATCTGGGCAGAGTCAACAGAGCTGACCAGGTATGTTACTGGATGTCTCTGCAATAAGTCAGATCATACCGCAGAGAGCATAGCTCAACACCCTGCAGGTGCAGGTTAGTTGATGGCCAGACTTGAAAGCTCAAACATGTAGGAATGTATATAATGCAATAAAGGACTGGCGGAGTTGCTGAATGCCGCCATACTAACAATTCAACAGTTAAACTTGTGTGAATAAAACTTATATACAGAAGCAGCACATGACAAATCAAACACAATATGGGATTTTCAGCAAAACCAAACACTTGCGCTAACATTAATTAATTATAAAAGGACACTGAAACTGCATGTACCAATTTCAACAGCACCATGGATCCCAAATACGCATGCTATTACTGAAAGCGCACGCCGCCTTATGGCCATTTCATCTCCCGCAAAGTGACGTGTTTCCGCCTTATGGCCATTTCATCTCCAGCAGCATCAGAGCCTCCTCATCCTCCTCGTTCCCCTCGCCGGTTTCAACGGCAGCGGCGTCTCACTTCCTCAGCCTGACGGGAGCGTTGAGCTCGGCCAGCACCTTCGAGTGGAGGGCCCGTGAACGGCGGGCATCTTGGCGAGCGCGGCCGGCGCGGACGCGCCTCCTCCAGCTCCGGCAGCAATATTGGAGGACCCGGTTAGGAGCCGGCGGCGGCGGGGGAAGTCGCCATGGGAGTTCCGACGGTACAGCACGAGGCCCAGCAGCGCCTAATATTTCTTCTTCTACTACTACTACTCAGACGTTTCTACAAACTATACACATAGAAAATTTAGGACAAATTACGGAGTAAAGTAAAAAAATGCATTGAAAAGATGCCAGCCATCATCTCTCCCCTTTAATTACTCAACCCCCAATAAGCTAAGTGCATGTACAAATTAAGAAGACCATGTGTAGATTGTTATTGGTCCTGATTACCGTGTGATGCGAGAAAAATATTATTTTTTAATTTAAAGTGCATTGAAAGATAGAAGTACACTTTTCTTGGAAAAATTTTAAAGCCAAATGTAAGCTCTTTACTTGTAAAAGATGTGTTACATTATGGAACGGAGGAAGAATATTTTTTGTTTTATATGCAAATAAGGTGTTTTATAAATAAAATATCCATGTGTTTCAAAAAATATTCGCGTATATAAAACTGTTCATGTCTACTTGAAAGGAAAAAAATTGTATCACAAAAAGGGTATCAAACCAAAAAGATATATTCTTCTATTTTAAAAACAATGTTCTCGTATGCCCCAAAAATGTCCATGAATATAATTTTTTATGTGTTATTCAAAAACAGCTCCCCTTGATTTTCAGAAAGATAACATTTTTTCTAAAAATGTTTATCACATATTTTAAAAAAATTATATGTGTTAAAAAAAGTTAATCTATCTTGTTTGCTTAAAAAGGTTCATCAAGTAATTCATATATATTTAATCATATTTTTTATAAATATTCAACGTGTGTTATAAAATGCTCAAGTTATATATAAAAGGTTGACTATGTATTCTAAAAATGTTCAGCTTTTATTTTAAAAAATGTTCATGTTGTGTTTAAAATTTGTTCCTCGTGCAAGAAATATTGCTCATTGTGCATGAAAAACTATTTGTTGTGCATTTATCAAAAGTTTCATCATGTATTGACAAATGCACATTAACAAATAATTATGCATTTTATAATATTAAATGTTCAACATTCATTCGGGAAGTTAAAATGTCTTTTAAAAATGACATCATGTGATTTAAAAGGTTAATCATGTAATTCGTATGTTACTCTTCTAATTCATATGTTAATCACGTAATTTTTCAATATTCAAGGTGTATTTTAAAAAGGTCATCCGGTATATATAAAAGATTGACTGTGTATTTAAAAATGTGCTCACCATTTATGTTAAAAAATTTCATGTTATATTTATAATTTTTTTCAACTTGCATGAAAAACAATTCATTGTGTATATATAAAATTGTTCATCATGTATTGACAAATCTTCATGTGTAGTTAATAAATATTCATCTTGTAGAATTAAATGTTCAACATGAATTTTCAAATATCAAATAGTAATTAAAAAACGTCCATCTTGTATTTTAAAAATAAAGTTCATGTATTTTAAAATTCATCATGTATTCTAAAAATAATCATAATGTACTTGTAAAATGTCCAACGTGTATTAATATGTTCATCATATATTTTGAAACATCATGTATTAAA